AGCGCCGGGGTTGATTCCCAAACGCTCCCGGTTGCGGTTGGTGCTCGAAGCCCCGGAGCCCTCCAGGCACAGGGAGGGCTTGGGAGCAGATCCAGGGGGGGGAATTCCAAGGTTTTTCCCCCCTTCCCGTTTCCTCTCCGCTTGATTTTCTCCAGGAGTGACCGCGCGGGGTCATCCAGAGGAGCCGGGGCCGCGGGGCCGATGGAGACAGCGGGGCCCTTGTTCTTCCCGGAGCTCCTCAGGGATCATCCAGGGGCTGCAGGATCCTCTGGAAAATGCTGCCTTTATGCCTCGAGGTCTGGGAGCGGGGCTGGGAGAATTCCTGGAGCTGGGGGATCCAATCCCATTTATCATCCCCGAGAAAAACAGCGAGCGGGACACCGTGACCAGTTCAGCGCCAGCCTGGGGGGAATTCCCTCTTTGGGAGCGCTGGGAAGGAATTTTCCACGCTGCCCCGGGGAAATTGGGATGCCTTGGGGTTTGATTCCAGCGGGATCCATCAGCTTTGGAATCCGTGCTGGAGCCACCTGTGACTTCCCAGCTCCTGCCTTAATCCTCCTTGACATCCCGGCTGCTGCTGCTGCTTCCATAATGAATTCCAGACAGGGAATTAGGGCCGGGATTCATTTCACCTGCCGAGTCTAATTAACAGATGGAGCGGGAGGCAGGGAGAATTCCCGAATAAATCGGGAATAATTCAGGAGGACACGGAAAAGGCTCCACACAGGCCTCGGCTCGGCCGTGACACCAAAACCTCCCCCGGCAGAGGCCTGGGAGAGCTTTTCCCGCTTTTCCAGCCCTTTAAAAGGCTCCCAGATCCAAGGAATGCGAAGGCAGCGCCCTGGGATCGTGGGAGGTGTCCCTGCCCTTGGCAGGGGTGGGATGAGAGGAGCTTCAAGGTCTCTCCCGAGCCGAAGCATTCCATGATTCTGTGAATTCCTCTCCTGGAAAAGGCTGCTGCCTCTGGTGCCCCCACTCCCACTGCGGGGTAACGTCCCAGCTGGCAGGGAACGACTGCGGCACATTCCAGGATTTCCTTTATTTAACCCCGGGATCTTCTCCTTTTCCTCGTGGATTTCTTCCCGAGGCTGAAGGTTAAACGGGGGAGCTTCTGCTGTTGTCATTTTTTCCTGGATTTTTTTTTCCCCAAGGAGCATCCAGAATGGCGTTTTACTGGAATTTACTGGGATTGAAACATCCTCCACTGGAAGGTTTGGTCTGTCCTGCAAAGTTTTTTTTTTGGGGGGGGAGAGAAGATCGTGAAATCCTGGAATGCTTTGGGTTGGAAGGGACTGGAGGGATCAGCCCAATTCCAGCTCTGACACTTCCCAGTATCCCAGATTATCCCAGCCTGGCCTGGGGCACTCCCAGGGATCCAGGGGCAGCCACAGCTCCTCTGGGAATTCCATCCCAGCCCCTCCTCACCCTCCCAGCCGGGAATTCCTTCCCAATGTCCATCCATTCCCCTGTGGCAGTGGGAATTCCCTGTGTCCTGTCCCTCCATCCCTTTTCCAGCTCTCCCGGATCCTCTGGATGAAAAACCAGCGACGTTTCCCCTCCAATCCCAAACAATGCAGATCCCCCCATCCCTCTCCCACATTTCCCTGAATTTCCAGGACTCTGCTGCCAGGAGAACACCAAGACCCCAAAATCCAGCAATGAATTAATCCCAATTTTCCAGAAAATTCTTTCCCCCTCAGGTTTGAGGCTCCCTCCTGACGTCTTCCCAGATTTCTCCTCCAAAGATCCTCTATTTTTAAAACCCTCCCTAAAAACCGTTTTCCATCTATTTTTTCCTCCCAGCTCCCACTGCTTGGCATTTCCTCTGAGGAGCACGGGGACTTTTTAACTGCTCCAAAAACCTGGATGCAAAAAAAAAACCAAAAAAAAACTCCTGGAATTTTTCCTTTGGAAGGGCCCAGATGGGATTTACAGCCCCAGGCACAGAGAGAAGGAATAAAAACACCTGGAGAGTTAAAAATTCCTTAAGGAGGAAAAATTCCCCGTCAAAATTTGCCGAGTGTTCCTGGTGTTTCGGGAGGGAAAAATTTGGGAATTCATGTGGAATATTCCAGGAAATGCTTTGCTCTCCAAAGATGTTAAATGGTTTTTTATTCCCCTTGGAATTGCTGCTCCGAGGAACTGGCTGGGAATGGGAAATATGGGGAATTCCTCATGGAATTATCCGTTGGAATTTGAGGATTTTGGTGCAGGGTGGGAAGAGGCACCACGAGATGACCCCAGGGATACAAAATATTCCTTTGAACTCTTCCAAAATTCCAAATTATCCCACAAAAACCTCATTTCCCTGATCCATCCTAATAAACCCCTGAACGCTCCTTTTCCCCCCAAACCCAACATTCCAAGGACAGGAGGGCGACGCCAAGCTGGAATTCTGGAGCATTAACTCGGATTTATCCTCTCCTTTATCCCAGGAAGGAAAAGCTCTCCCGGGAAAAGCTTGAGTGGATTTTTTTTTCCCATTATTATTTTATACCACATCCCAAGGAAAAAAAAAAAAAAAATTGTGTTTTCAGCACTTTCTCCTATCGGGAAAGTAATTGAGTCCAAATGAAGAGGGAATTATCTCCGGAGTTAATTATCCATCCCGGCAGCCGGGGTTTTACATCCCAGCATTTTCCACTTCCACACAAAGCACGGGAATTCTCCTCTCCTGTAATTAACGTGCTGGGAATGTGGTGGAGGAAGCTCCAGGGGCCGGGTTTTGGGTGGAGTTGGGGAGAATTTGGGAATCTGAGAGGAGAGGGGATGGGAATGACTCCAAACCCTGGCACAGAGCGGTGCTGGAATCGCCATTCCCGGAGGGAATGTTGGAATCACAATTCCTGGAGGGAATCCTGGATCAAAACCCCATTCCCAGTGCTGGAATCGCCATTCCTGGAGGGAAAATTTGAGCAAACCTCTTTTCCAGTGCTGGAATCTCCATTTCCAGAGGGAATCCCAGAACGAGACCCCATTCCCAGCGCTGGAATCGCCATTCCTGGACAGAATCCTGGAACCACCAGCCCTGGAGGGAATTCTGGAGCAAAACCCTCTTCCAGTGCTGGAATTGCCATTCCTGGATGGAATCCTGGAGCCAATCCCCGTTCCCAGCACTTCCCAGTAACCCCAGCACGTCCATGGATCACAGGGAATACCGGGAATTTTTAGTGGTGCCTGGCTGCTGGATGGAGACGCTCCCCTGACCTTTCCAAGCAGTTCCTGCTCCTCTGGAAAATCCTGGATCACTCCCAACTTTCTCATCCATGCTGGAATTCCCAGCCTCTTTCCCAAGGAAACCCAGCAGCCCAAACTGGGATGGCTGGGAACACCAGGATTGGGAATCACCCCCAGGAATGATCCCAAATTTGGCCGTGGAGCTCCCAAATCCTTTTTTTTTTTTTTTTTTGGCTGCCCCACACCTGGCTCCGACTCTGGGAAAAAGCAGCCAGGATTGCAGCAGGAATTCCAGGAGAGGTCCAGAAATTCCAGGGATTTATGTTCCCAGTGCCAACTCCCACATCCCCCTGTTAGATTTTCCATGCTGGAAAAGGGAATTTTCATCCCTTCCCTCCCCTCTCCGTCAGCTCCAGCTCCCAGCAAACAGCGCTGGGATCTTTCCATCCCAATTTCCACATCCCTGGAATGTCCAAGGAGCAAGCTGGGAATTGTCCCAGCCCATGGCAGAGGCTGGAATGAGAAGATTTTAAATTCCATCCCAACCCAACCCTGTCTGGAATTCCGTGGTTCCACAATTTTACCATCCCCAGGCTCCCAAGATTCCCAAAATCCCTTTTTTGCATGGGCACAGCTGGATGGGAATTGACATTGCTGCTCCCAAAACATCAAAACAAATTTAAAAATCCCAAATAAATTTAAAAATTCCAGCCCCTCACTCTTCCTTGTGCCCCAAATCCCAACATTTCCAGCACTGCCAGCTTGTCTTGGGAGAAAAAAATTCCAAACCTCATCCAGGGAGGGGCTGGAATTTGGAACCTGAAATTCTTGCACATAAAAATTCCCAAAATATCACCAAAAAAAAATGGGAATGTGGCAGCTCCTTGGGAATGTTTTTCTGTTTGTTGTCTCCTACAGGAAAGAAAAGGCCAAAAATCTTTGAATTCCAACCCAAATCTCGGCATTCCTGCAGCTGAAGGGTTCCCGGTTTTCCTCCCCACCGGATATCGGGATTTTTATGGAATCTTGGATTTTGGGGCTGTTTCATTCCTTGGTTTGTTCTCCTTGGTTTATTTCGGTTTGGTTTTTTTGTTTGTTTTTTTTTTCCATTATAGACATCGTTAAAAAAAATAAATTTTCCAAGAATACATTTGGAAGTTGCTGTGGGAGTCGGAGGAATTAAAAAAAATAAAAGATTAAAGGAAAATAAAGGGAAAAATGGAAGTTAAAAAGCCACAGGTAGGGTTATGTATATGGGAATATCCATATGTTATATGTATATAGGAAATAAAGTGGAGAGGGAAAATAGGGAATTCTGACCCTGGATGGGTCAAAATCCACTCCCAACCCAAATTCCAAATCCAAAAAAATTTCAAAATAAGGAGAATGGAACCTCTCCCCCTGGAATGATTGAAAACATCAGCACAACCTCACGCGTTTCACACCAGTTTCTTTTCTCTTCCATTCGGAAACTCTCCGAGGAAAAATCCCAACCAAAATTCCCCAAAAAAACCGACGGGAGGAGCTCTGGGAATCCTCTCCGGGTGGCTCCCGATGGCTCCTTCATCCTCCGGGATGTTCCCACGTGGAATCCTCGTTGTCCCCGTGGCCACCCCGGTGTAAAGAATCCTGAAATTCACCTTTCCCAAAGCTTTTCTCCGACTTTTTTTTTCCCCTCCCTGGCACCGCTGGCAGCTCCAGACCCCCATTCCAGGCCCATTCCGGGGAGTTTTCCCAGGAGCCGCTCGGGAAAACCAACCCAGAAAAGACCAAAAATAACAAAAAAAAAAAAAAAAAACCTGGGAAAAATTAAAAGTAGGAAGAAAACCACCAAAGTTTCCCAGCGTGGCCAAAGGGTCCTCCTGCCTGTCCGGAGCTCGGCATTCCCGGGATTTGGGAGCATTCCAGTCTCTGTCACTGGTGGGCACTGGTGGGTACTGGTGGCACTGGTCCGAGTGTCCCCGTCCCACCGGCCGCTCCTTCCCGCCCCTCTATAGCCCCAGCGCCGGGATGAGGACGGGAATGAGGAGCAGGATCCGGCTCTCCCGGTGCCGGCTGCTTCCCGCCTTGGGATCCGTGAAAGTTTTCTGGTCCGGCATCACATCCGTGGTCAGCTGCGCCTGGGAAGGAGGGATAGGAGTGGATTTTTTAGGGAAAAGCATCCCAAAGTTGGGAAACACCTCCGGGGTGTCATTCCCAAGATGTTTGATTTAGGAAAGAATTCCCAGCCCAGGGATTTTCCCCGCCATGTACCTCGGAGTAGCACAGGCTCTGCTCCTTGGATTTGTTGGGTTTCAGGCCTTGTTCCTGGCAGGAGGAATTGGGAATGGTTTGGGTGGGAATGTGCCCCTGGAGCTCGGGGCTTTGGGGTTCCTGAATTTCCCTGTGGGAATGAGCTCGGAGCGGGGGTTTGGGAAAGGCTCAGCCTGTCCCAGCTCAGGGGCTTCAGTGGATCCGGCCTCACTCCCACCGTGATCCTGCCAGGAATCCTGCTGGGAATCCTGGGACACCCCTCGTGTCCCCATCCCACTCCTCTGCATTCCTGGAACATTCCCAGTCCGGGTCCTGGGACATCCCTAATCCCATTTCCTTCCCATTCCTGGGGCATTCTCAGCCATTTCCCAATCCCATTTCCCTGCATTCCTGGGACATCCCCAATTCCATTTCCTTCCTATTCCTGGAACATTCCCAGCCATTCCTCAATCCCATTTCCCTCCCATTCCTGGAACATTCCCAGCCATTCCCCAATCCCATTTCCCTGCATTCCTGGGACATCCCCAATTCCATTCCCCAATCCCACTTCTCTCTTATTCCTGGGACATCCCCCTTCCCATTCCTCAATCCCATTTCCCTCCCATTCCTTTTCCACCCACAGAGTAAAACATGGACGCCCAAGCCCCGCAGCTGACAACACTGATTTTCCAGATTTCCCAAAACAACCCCAGAATTCCATCTCCCAGACGAGGAGCGCTCGGGCTCAGGGAGTCACCTCGCCAGGTGAGCGGGGACACGGGCGGGGAACCCCTCCCTCCCCAAACACTGCCCGGACCCTCCCAGCCCCGGGATGAATCCGAGCGGGACATTTTCCCATCCCATGGGACGCAGCCGATGTCCCCACACCCCCACCAGTGCTCCCAGTTGAGGTGTGGCCGCACCTGGAGCGAGGTGCAGGTGCTGATGACGCTCGTGTCGTACGCGGTGTTGCTGTCGTTGACATCGTCCGGCAGCGCCGGGCTCTTCTCCACCTTCGGCGGCACCGTCACGGCGGGATTGGGATTTTTGGGAGCCAAGTTCACGTCGGTCCCATTCCCAAAAGCTTGGATGGCGTTTCCTGGGAGCGGGAGAGGTTCAGGAAGGATGGGAGGGATAAAAGAGCGGGAAAGGAGCAGAGCGGGGGGGGAAGCGCCTTACGGAGACACGGATTTTCCGTGAAATCCCGCAGGAATTTCTCGCACTCCTCCTCCATGTTCCCGCTGCCTTTGCAGGAGCACCAGGGCGAGATGGTGATGCTGGTGGTGTTGGCGTCCACGTAGTTGGGGGTGATGTCAAAGCCTGGCGAGGAGGAGGGAACGGGGATGAAATCCCAGTGGGAAAAGCCATTCCCCATCCCAGCTCCCGGCACTCACCGATGAGCCCCGCGTAGGAGCCCAGGCACGCCTGGAAGTTGTCCCCGGGACAGCTGGTGAGGGACTGGGAGGTGGCCTGGCAGTTGGTGTGGAAATCGGCCAGCCGGGATCTGCAGGGGAGGAAAAGTTGGGAAAACAGAGCGGAATTTTCAGCGCCGGTTCCATCCCAGAGTGACTCCGCAGCCAAAAGGAATTTTTAAATGGAATAAAAGTGCCCCATTCCCAACGTCCTGTGAAATTCCAGGGCGATTCAGGCTCGTCGGCTGGGTTATCCAGGAGGGGACAGGAGCCCGGGGGTGGCCGTGCTCATCCACACCTCAGATCCCAAAAAACAGCAACAACACAACGGGAATCTCCTCTGGAAGGGATGGGATTGGGGTGGGGCTGAGGGGCTGCTCCCTGACGGGGATGGGAGGACGGGGAAGGACAAAGAGCTCGGGATGAAGCAGAAATTCCAGGGAAAACCGGGATTCTGCAGCTCTGCCGTAGCGTGTGAGGCAAGGAGGAAACTTCCTCCTACTCCTTCTTCCTGGAAATAAAACTCCCCCATCCCGAGAGCGTCGTGTCCGTGTTTATTTTCCTTCCTTGTGACCCAGCCCATGGAGGCTCTGGGAGCTCCCATCCCACTCCCATTCCCAGAGCAAATCCTCAGCTCCCGGTGGGAATTTTCCTTGCACAAAGCCCAGAAAAAAATTCCAGGTTTTTATTTTTTTTTTTTTTTTTAGGGGTTGCTCCACCCTCTGTGCAACCAAACCTCAGCTCCAGGATGGGAATAAATCCAAAAAACCTGCTCCATCCCCAGCCTCTCCACGGGAGAGGAATAAAACTTTCCGACAGCATTTCCCTCTCTTCCCCAATCCGAGGCGAAGGGACGTCAATTCCCCGCAGGAAACGCGGCGACTTCAGCACCGAGCGCCAGGAAAATTTGTCACCGCCGCTCCCTGGGGCTCTGCTCCCGGCCTGGAGCATCCTCCGAGGCAAAGGTTATTCCTTTCATAATCCATGAGGATGCAGCTGGGAAATCCTTCAGGAATATCCCGGGCCGATGTCACTGTCCCCGTTGGACACGGCCCCTTTGGGAGCTGCTGGATGGGATTCGCCGCCAGGAAAAAAACGCTCGGACTCGGCGAGGAGGATTTTGGCTTCCAAGGGCTCCGAAGAAATGAAAAAAAAAAAAAAAAGAAAAAAAAAAAGAGGGGAAGGAGAAGGAGCCAAGTCCAGCTTAGCAGGAACACGGAGGAATCGCTGCCAAATTGCTGCTGGCAGCTGGAGGATGGCCTGGAAAATTTGGGAAGAGCTGGGCTGGCTCTGGATGAGGGATGGAGGATTTTCCTGACTTACCACCCCCAAAAAAAACCCCTAAAGGAGTGAAAAAGGGATTAAAAATATTAATTCTGGATATAAACTCAGATCTCCCATCCCAAACCCGCTCCAAGGGCTGGATTCCCAATTTTGGAAATCCCAAACTGCTCCTCTTGGATTCCTGGAGGGAAAATGCGAGGAAAGGCAGCCCCAGGACGCCAAAATCCAACCCGTCCCAAATCCATCCCTTCCCAAGGACCTGGATCCCTGCAGGGCCCCTGGACTAAAATATCCTGAATTTAGGGGGCTTTTAAATTCCGTACCTGTATTCCCAGCGCATAAATCCCAGACTTAAGGGGTTCTGTGCACCTGTACATTTATCCCACGTGCATAAATCCCAAATTTAAGACACTTAGTGCATTGCAATGCACACACCTGGTGCAGATATCCCAAATTTAGGGGAGTTTTGGTAACTGTAAATATATCCTAGGTCCATAAATCCCAAATTTAGGGGATTTTTGTACCTGTAAATGTATCCCAGGTTCACAAATCCCAAATTTAGGGGATTTTTGTACCTGTACATTTATCCCAGGTATATAAATCCCAAATTTAGGGAACGCTCTGACACGGAGATTTTCCAAGCACGGAGGTTTTGGGATAGGTTTTGTTCGGGGGGATTTTAAGCGCTTAATTGAGTGTTAATTACTCCCATCCCCCGAGCCGCGGTGATAACTCACCGCGATCCAATCCAACAGCATCTTGTTTTTCCATGAATATTTCATGGAAAAGACGCCGGGATTCCTCCAGAGGTGGAATTATTTTTTTTTTTTTTTTTTTTCACGGGCAATTTACAGGGACTGAGGGAATTTTTTTTTTTTTAAAGCTGGGAGAAATCCTCTCCTGCAGAGCTGGGGATGTTCAAGAAGCTGCGACAACACGGAAAAAAACTCGGCGAGACACGAAAATCCCGCTGGGCATCGCCCTCCCAACGCTCCCGTCCTGCTGGAGAGGGATTCTTTTGAAGCCGGGAGATGCTGAGATTAAAAAAAAATTCCCCTCAAACGCTCCCAGGTAAATTCAAAGAGTCCCAGGGAGAGGGAGCAGCTGAAGGAAAGAGGGAAGCGGGAATAAATCTCGGCTTTTGTGGATGACCCGCTGCCAAATCGAGCAAGGAGTTCACAGGGGAGGGAAGAAAGATCAATGGATGGATTTGTTTTATCCGGGAAAAGTTGTGTGGGGAGAGGAGTCGCCTGTTCTGGGCTGAGCCGCGGGGGTTTGAGGGGAAAAAAAAGGAAATTTTTGTCGTCGTTCCGAGGCTCTCGGCTTCAATTCCAGAGGAATTTTCTCATGGAAAGGGGGTCAGGCTTTGGAAGGGGCTGAGCAGGGGGGGTTGGGAGTCACCATCGGATGGCCTGGAGGTGTCCAAGGAACCCCTGGAGGTGTCCAAGGAACCCCTGGAGGTGTCCAAGGATGTCCTGGGGGTGTCCAGGAAACCCCTGGAGGTGTCCAGGAAACCCCTGGAGGTGTCCAAGGAAATCCCTGGAGGTGTCCAAGAAACACCCAGAAGTGTCCAAGGATGGCCTGGAGGTGCCGAGGAAACCCCTGGAGGTGTCCAGGAAATCCTTGGAGGTGACACTCGGAGCTCTGGGCTGGGGACAAGGTGATCGTCAAAGGCTGGACTCTGATCCTGGAGGACTTCTCCAACCTCTGGAATTTCTGCTCCTTGCTCAGGGACACGGACACTGCTGGGAAAAGGCGAAGCCACCACAAAGCACCGCAGGAATTCCCAGAGCAGCGGAGACGCCGCAAGAGGGAAAACAACCAGGACACAACCCCCAAAGTCGGGCGTTGCTAATTAGTTACTAATTAACAACTCCGTTCTCCAGGTCGCCACATTTTGATCCAGCGCTGAGACGAGCCCCTCAAAGGCGTTTTTTGGGTGGATTTTTTTGTCTCCCCGAGCCCCGCGGCTCCCCGGGAAGGGGAGCAGGGAGCGCAGGAATCGTTCGGTTTTAATTGCGGGCCCGTTCTGTCCCATTGAGCCGCTAACTGAGCCCAACAGGAGATTGTGTTTACACAAGCAAAGCCCGGCTCAAGACAGACTCGCTGTCACATTAAGTCAATACTTGGGAAGCCTCTCGAGTTAATTATTCAGCGAGAATTGACTGATTCTCGTGGTGAGAGCCCGGCGAGCCCGCAGGGAGCCGAGCCCTCCCCCAGCCGCCTCCTCTCGTGAGGGACCGCCCCGGGTGCTGCCTCTCCACATCCCAAATCCACCAGATTTGGGGATTTTTCACGCATTTCTCAATCCCAAACCGGGTTTGGAGGCTCCTCCATGCCCTGTCCCCTCCAATCCCCAGTTCTCCCAACTCCCGTTAAATCCAGGAGCGATTTCCCCCCGCTTTTCTTCTTTCCCTGCTCCTTCCTCTCTTCTTCTTCCCCAGCCACAACCTCTTCTGTGCTGCCTCTCCACATCCCAAATCCACCACATTTCGGGATTTTCACGCATTTCTCAATCCCAAACTGGGTTTTTGAGGCTCCTCCATGCCGTGTCCCCTCCGAACTTGAGGTCTCCCAGCTCCCGTTAAATCCAGAAGCGATTTTCCCCTGCTCCTTTTCCTTTCCCTTCTCCTTCATCTCTTCTTCTTCCCCAGCCGCCTCCTCTTCTGTGCTGTCTCTTCACTTCCCAAGTCCACCAGATTTGGGGATTTTTACAGATTTCCCAGTCTGGGTTTGTAGGCTCCTCTGTCCCCTCCGAATTTGAGCTCTCCCATCTCCCGTTAAATCCAGGAGCGATTTTTCCCTGCTCCTTTTTCTTCCCAGCCAGGCGCGCGGGGCTCTCATTACAGGGAGTAATGAGAAAGTTGAGCTGCTGTTTATCAAGGAAACATCCATTACCGTGGCGTTCTGTCTGTGCTAAACAAAGGCCGCGCTGCCGCTCACAAAGCCGCGTTTTGTTCCCGGGTTTGGTGTTCCATCAATTCCCAGCCAGCCTGGATCCCGTTCCCTCCTTCCCGAGCCAAAGATCCAGCAAAAAAACCCCGGCCAAAATTCTCTTTGCACAAAAATCCCAGAGGGGGAGCATCCCTGACACCCCTGGATTTAAACACGTCAAAAACCGGGATAAAAATCAGGGAAATCATCCAGCATCCCCACTTTGGATGCTGCAATCACGGCCAAAATCCTTGACAAACAAATATCCCAGAGGGGGAGAACCCCTGACCTCCCCTTGGCTTAAACACACCAAAAACTGGGATAAAAATCTGGGAAATGACTCAACATCCCCACTTTGGATGTGAGGAGCTCCAGCCCAACCCCGGCCAAAATCCTCTCCACACAAATACCCCAGAGGGGGAGCATCCCTGACCTTCCTCCCAAAAAATTGGAATAAAAAGTCCAGGAAATGACCCAACATCCTCACTTTGGACACTCCAACCCCACGGCCAAAATCCTCTTCACCCAAAATCCTGAGAATGAGAGCATCCCTCACCCCCTTGGCTTTAAACACACCAAAAACTGGGATAAAAAAAATCCAGGAAATGACCCAACATCCCCACTTTGGATGCTGGGGAGCTCCAGCCAGTGGAGGCTGGGAATTTCTCCGGCACCGGCACCACTGGAGCGTGTAAGAGCAGATTATTTGTGTTCTCGACTTGCTGATGCAAGATGAAAAATCCACGAGCTGCAGCTGCTGAAATCAGCTCTTTTCTCCCCTTCCCTTCCCTTTCCCCTTCGCTGAGGTTTGTGCTTCGCCAAAGGTTTTTGTATTCCGGGAGCTAAAACCTGTCCCTTGCAATCAGCCACAAAAACTCCGGGACTTTGTCAGGCTCCTGCGAGCCGGGAAAAGCTGGGAAAAAAAGGCTGGGAAAAAAAGCTGGGAAAAGCTGAGGAAAAGCTGAGAGAGATGGGGAAAAGATGGGGAAAAGAAAGAAAGATGGGGAAAAGAAAGATGGGAGAAGGATAAGGGGATATGGAGGAGTTTTGGCTGGAAAAACCCACGGATAATGGGAAATTCCATGGCACAGCCCTGTCCTGCCTTGTCCTCTGAGATGAGGGGACAGGAAGAGTTTTGTGTCCCAGCATTCCCAGCTGGAGATGCCAGAGAGGACGGGATGCGATTTTGGGATGGGATTTTGGGATGGGATTTTCTCCTGAAAACCCACATCCAAGGAATGCATCCATACCCCATCCCAAGGAAAAAAATAATCCTTGAAGATAAAGCAAAACTCACCAGAAAAACCAACACAAATAAATGCCAGATTTGGACATTCTCCAGAGCGAGAGCCCCCATCCGTGCTCTCCCACACTTCTCCCCCCCCAAAAAAAAAATAAATTTCCACCTTGGAGCAAACACTCCCAGCAGCTTCCACCCTTTTCCACTTTCCCTCCAGGTGTGGGGATTTCATTCCATGCAGGAATTAAACCCCGTGGCCTCTTCCAGCCCCGTTCTCCCTCTCCGAGCGCGGATCCTCGGAGCGCTCTGATGGAGAGGAGCTGCCATTCCCGGGTATCTTTTATTCATGGACACCGGGCTCCTTGGATTAGTTTTTGATAAAAAGCCACATTCCCACATTTCAAACATCGCCGCTCGCAGCCTGAGGAACACTCGGAGCTCGCATTTATTTCCCTGAGAATCTCCATCACCTTGATGGGAAAAAGGTGCCGCTCCTGGAGCGTCGGGAGCGGATCCGGCTCCCGTGGGGGACAGGAGGGGCCGAGCCCGGTGACAAATGGATGTGACAATGACAAGGAGCAGGAGCCTCGGCTGCCGAGGAACAGCGGGAATCCGGCAGCCAGGGAGGATTTGGGGGATTCAGCCAGGGGGGATTTGGGGGATTCAGCCAGGGAAGGTTTGGGGGATGCAGCCAATGCCAAGAGGGTGACACCAACGCCAGGAGGTGACACTGATGGCCAGGAAGGTGACACTGATGCTGGGGTGGTGGCACCAATGCCAGGAGGGTGACACCGATGCCAGGGAAGGTGACGCCAACACCAGGAGTGTGATGCCAATGCCAGGAGAGTGACAATGGCACCAAAAAGGTGACACCAATGCCGGGAAAGTGACACCAACACCTGCCCTATAACAGAAGAACCCCCTTTACCTGCACAGGTGAACACCAGCACACCTTTACCTGCACAGGTGAGCCCTTTACCTGCACAGGTGAACCCTTTACCTGCACACCTTTACCTGCACAGCTGCACCCTTTACCTGCACAGGTGATCCGCCCTGCAGGCCCCACGCAGATCCAGGCAGTTGGCCTTGTCCTTGTCCTCGTAGGAGCAGGAGGGGACGATGGTCTGGCGGCGGCGCTCGGCGCACGCCGGGTCCTTGCAGGAGCAGAAGAGCAGGCGGAAGGTGAACTCGCCGGGCACGCGGTCGAAGAACTGGCGCAGGGCTTTGTGGCACCTGCGGCGACTGCAGGGCTCGGTGGCCGACAGCCCCCGGCTGCACGTGGAGATGTAGGCGGAGCGAAGGCGCTTGCAGTTGTCGTTGAGGTTGCAGGCTTTGGCCGCGTCCAGGCAATGGTTGCTCTTGGAGGTGGTGGCCGGGTCCATTCCTGCGCTCAGGATAAGGAGGGAGAGGGGTTAGGAAGGTGGGATGGGGAGGTGGGGAGTGGGGAGGGGTTGGGAAAGGGTTTGGGGGGGTTGTTGGGGAGGTGGGGTTGGTGGTTTTGGTGGTGGGACGTGTGGTGAGGGATGGGGAGTGGGCTGGAAAAGGGGGAGATGGCCCCGAAAATGGGGAGATGGCCCCGAAAATGGGGAGATGGGCTCAAAGATGGGAAAATGGCCTCGAAAATGGGGAGAGGTCCTCAAAGATGAGGAAATGCCCTCCAAACTGGGATGGGAACCATCTTTGACCCTTTGGATGGGGAGAATTCCTCAAAACGGGGGAAATGTCCTCAAAACTGGGGCAGGGAAAAGCCCTCAAAGCGTCTGAGTTGCCCTCAAATGCAGGCCATGAATTTTCTAATATTTCTTTCCTTTTGTCAATTCTTCAAAGAATCGTTCTTCATTATTAATTAATTAATAATTAATAATTATTCTGCTCCAAAAGCAGAATAATCAACCCAACCTCACTGTGGCTCTCACTGCCCCTCCTGGGGCTCCCCAAAACTGGGACAGCTCCAGACGGGGATGAAAGGGACCAGAGGATCGATCCCGTATCCATCCCGGGAATTCCACACTGGGAATTCCGTCCTGGGAATCTCATCCCTCAGGAGAGGACGGGCGAGGCCAAGCCCCAGCCTGGGAACAAACGCTGAATTTTCCCAGTTTTTTGCTGGGAATGATGGATCACCCTCCGTGGCCCTTCTGAAGCCACCTCATCCCTCATTCCCTCTCCTCCACAGCCCGGCCAAATCCATGGATTCTCTGGACAAATCCATGGATTCTCCTCAGCTGGCTCCCAGCTTCTGCTGGCGCCAAAGGAAGGCTCCTAATTGGCCTAATTGCAGGGTGCTGCTAATTAGCAAATCCAAATTCTGGGTGAGGCTCAGCCCCCGGCTCCTTCTGCGTCCCCAAACCACCCCTGAAGGGGGACAGGAATTTGGGGGGGGTCTTTTGTCCCATTGTCTCCCTGTCCCCAAGCTGAGAGCCACCAGCACGGCCCTGCTGGGGATCCAAAGGATTCAGGGATCCAAAGGATTCGGGGATCCCAAAGGATTCGGGGAAAAAAAAATATCCACGATGGGGCAGGGATGAATGGTTTGGATTTTCTCCAGAGGATGGACACAGCTCGAGGGGGAAAAGAGGATTGAAGAGGTGGGGGAAAGGAGGATTTATGTGGGAAAAACGGGGATTGAAAAGGTGGGGGAAAAGATTTAGGTGGGAAAAAGGAGGATTGAAGAGGTGGGGAAAAGGAAGATTTATGTGGGAAAAAGGGAATTGAAGAGGTGGGGAACACTCTTTACTTCCCCTGATTTTGGGGGATGCGCTGAGCCCTCCCTACCCCATAAACCACCCCGGCCCCGAGCCCTGGAAGCAGAGAGCAGCAGATTCCCAGCACAAAGCCGGGATTTTGGGATCCATTGTCTCATGGTCGGGAGCATCGCTCCTGCCCTGCCCGAGACCTGCAGGGACCCGGCTGCATTTTAATGGAGCCGCGGCTTTGGAAGCGCCGCGCTCCTGGGGAGCTCATTAATAAAGCACGAGCATGAAAATTTCATGAGCCGAGACGGAAACGGGGGCCGAGGAGCTGGGGACGGGGGCTGGGGCCACCAGCTGTCCCCTCCTCGTGTCCCCACGGCCGCTGGGGACCGGGAAAGAGGAGGAGGATGGGGGGGGTGGGGTTGGGTTGGAGAATTCCCAACTGGAGTTTTTCCCTTCTCCCACAGGCTGTGATTTCCTGGGGATCCAGCCGGGATGAGCATCCCGGGGTTCTCCGCGTGGGGAGGGGGCAGCGCTGGCTCTGCGGGTTTTTACACGGGGGTTACACGCGGGTTACACGGGGGTTACACGGGGGTTACACAACCCCTGCTCCTCAGCAATCCCTCCGCTCCCAATTATCCCTCCAGGCAATCACCAGCTCCTTCTCCAGGAACAGCTCCAAAATCTCATTTGCTTCACCACTGGGGATCAGGTCGGGGCTGGATGTCCCTGGAGGTCCCCAGGGAGGGGACAGGAAAGGGGGGGCAGCAGCACCGAGGCCACCGCAGTGGTCCCAGCACCTCGCTGGCCTCACCCATCCTCCCCTTCCCCCATCCCCAAAATCCGCAGCCAGGCTTTTCCTGCCCTTCCCTGGATAAATCAGTGTTTAATCCCCGCTCCACACTCGCTGCTTTCCAGACTTCCCGACGTTTTCCTGACGCCAATGTAATCCCAAAAAAGCGGGCGGGAGACGGGAGGGGGTGGCAGCGTCATCCCAAAAACCCGCGCCGAGCTCGCGGGGAAAATCCGCATGGAAAAGCCTGGAACATTCACCCCGGGCGGCGGGTGACAACGGTGACAGCGCCGGTGTCACTCACACGTGTCCCCAGGTGAGCTGGGTGGGGCCCCGGGGGCGTCCCCGAGGTGTGGGGACAGCGGGACCCCCCAAAATCCCACAGCGAGGGGAATTCGGGGAAGGGTCCCGGGGGGAGAGGCCGAGAGGTGTGGGATGGGGCTGAGGGGCGGCACGGGAAGGTTGGCATGGAAATGAGGGAGAATCCAAAATGGAAAAAACGGGAAATCCAAAACGGCCGAGGATGGTGGCGGAGTTTGGGGTTTGGAGGAGGACACTGGGATGTGCTAAGGGACACTGGGATGCTCCAAAGGGGCTCAAAGATGCTCCAAGGGGCACTGGGATACTCCAAAGGATTTCATGGGACGTTCCATGGGACACTGGGATATTCCAAGGGGTTCCAAAGGGACACTGGGAATGCTCCAAAGGGACACTGGGAATGCTCCAAGGATCTCCCAGCACTCCCCAGAGCTCGGCTCGAGGTCCCTGCCCCAGGGAGGGGACACCAAACGGGGTCCCCCCCTCAGCTCCACCCCATCGCGAAGGTCCCAAAGCCTTTGGAATCACCGAGAATTCCATGGGGGATGGGAGGGGCTGGACCCCGCTGGAGCCAGGACTGGGATTGCGCCCCAGTGCTGGGGACAGCGGGAATTCCGGGAATTCCCGATTTTCCAGCGGTGGAGGCAGCTGGGGCCAGGAGGCAAAATCCTAAATCTCACCCTGGCATGACCCGAAACAGAGAGAACCCACCCCAAAAACGCATCAACCCCCCCCCGCCCAAAAAAAAAAAAAAATGCCGCTCGGGATCCCGAATTTGGGGGGAGCAGAAGGGAAGGAGAGGCGGGAGGAGCTGGAGGAGCAAAGGACGAAGCCCAGGGGAGGGAGGTGAAGGTTTTCCCTGGCTGGGAGCAGCTCTGTGCTCGCAGGCGGGAGATAAAACACGGCGCTTTTATTACCTGAGAAAATTGAAGCGAGTCTGAATATATCAGAGAGACGAGAGGTGACCGGCTCGTACGGGGAGGCTTCATAAAATTCCTCTCCTTCGGTGGGAGGAAAGGAAAAGGAAAAAAAAAAAAAGGCAGAAAAAAAAGCAAATTAAAGCCCGTGGTGAATAATCTCAACCGGCTCCAGGTACAGGAGGGAAAAGCGAAATGATTTCCAAGCGCTGGAATTAAAGGAAAAGGGGATTTGGGAGCGGCTCGGGAGATTTTGGGGGCACTTGGGACCAGCCAGGTTTGGCAGAGGCTGCGTTCCAAAGGATTGCAGGAGCTCAGGGAATTGGGATTGGGGAGGTCGCTATTCCATGGGGATGGACACTGAGATCAAGGCTGGAAGTTCTGGGGTTCACACTCAGCTCTGGGTTTTTTATTTGTTACAAAATCCCCTAAAAACCAAAAAAAAACCCTTAAAAAAAAAACCCATTATACGATGGTTTTCCACCTCATTCCATGGGAAAATGGGAATATAAAGCACCCTCCAGAGCTTTATCCCAATCCACACCTTCAGAGGGATCCAAATCCAGGCTGGAGAAAAATCCCCCCTTTGATTTCAGGATAAATCCGTGAGATTTTGCTGGGTTTAACCCATAGAAAAACCAAAACAAAAATCTGATTTTAGGACAAGCAGCCCTCGAGGCTCTCCCCAAACCCCAGCAGCCACAGAAAAAAAAAAGTAGATAATGGACAGAAAAATGTAAATATACAAATAAATATTGGATGGCCAGGCTTTGGAAGTGGTAGTTTGAGGTTCCCGCTTTTCCAGGCGTTCCTTCCCCAAAATCCCGGCCCTCACTGCGGGATGGATCCCGTGCCAGGGGCTCCCAAATTTTCCAGAACACCAAAAATTCCACGTGGGAGAGGCTGGACCCCACTGGAGTCAGGATTGGGATTGTGCCTCCCCCTCCCGCCAGCCCCAGGGCTGGGGACAGCGGGAATTCCGGGAATTCCGGGAATTCCACCCAAAAAATCCCGGAGTTATCGCTGTCCCAAATCGGCAGCGTTTACCCTGCGGAATTCGGGAACCGCTTGGAAAGGCCCGTGTGGAAAAGGAGGCAAAGCGGGAGGGTTTGCTCCGAGCGCAGCGACATTCCCGGGAATTCCCGGGAAATCTGGGGAGAAAAGACCCCTCTGGGATGTCCCCAGCGATGTCACCGCTGCTCTCAGGGCGACGGGATTTGGGGACAAAGCCCCAAGGGCGGCTCCTGATCTTCACCGGGAATTGGGACAGGATCCAAATTCTGTTCCACAGCGACATTCCCGGGAAATCTGAGTGGGAAAGACCCCTCTGGGATGTCCCCAGTGACGTCACCGCTGCTCTCAGGGCCGTGGGATTTGGGGACAAAGCCCCAAGGGCCGCTCTGGCCACTCCTGATTCTTATGGGCAATGGGAATAGGATCCAAATCCCGCTCAGCATCGACATTCCCGGGAAATCTGGGGGGTAAAGACCCCTCTGGGATATCCCCAGTGACGTCACCACTGCTCTCAGGGTGACAGAATTTGGGGACAACGTCCCAAGGGCGGCTCCTGCTCCTCACGGGGAATGGGACCAGGACCCAAATCCCTCTCCAGGCCATTCCCTCTCCCCTCCGCGCCTTCCCCACTTTTTTCCAGGCGCGTTTCTGCAGCCCCGTGACCCCGCGCTCCATCGCTGCCATCAATAATTAAAAACCCGCTTGACTCCGGCTGCTTTGAGGGAAATTACCGAGCATTAAAAGGGCGCTGGACCCGCCTGGAGCTCCCCGAGCCTCAATTAACCCTCAGGAATGAGGCTGGAGCCTCCCTAATTGCGGGGAGAGCTCGGCTGGGCGCTGCCTGGGAGGAGGGGAACCCCAAAATTCCCGCTGGAAGGCACAAATTTGGGCTCCTCGCTGCTTTTCCCGCTCCCCTCGTCAAGGATCGCCGCAAAGCTTCCACCTCTCCTTAATCGCTGCTCTTCCCTCCTCCTCCTCCAGGTACAAATTCCCATCCCCATTCCAGCAAAACCTTGGGAAGCTGCTCAATGGAAGCGGCTAATGAGCGGCAGGAAATAATTAAGGCGTAATTCCAGCTCGGGGCCGAGTTTGGGGAGCGCTGACCCAGATTTGAAGGGAATTTCACCCAGGGGGGCTCAGGTGAGGCTCCCTCACATCCTGTGGAAGAGTTTTCCCGTCCTCAGATCCAATTTTCCCACCCTCAGGTCCAGTTCCCACATCCTTGGTTACAATTCCTTCATTCTCCTGTCCAGCTTTCCCATCCTCGGGCACCTTTCCCATCGAATTCCACAATTCCCAGCCTGCTTTGGGCTGGAAAGGGGCTTAAAAAATCTCATCCCAACCCCCCTCCCACGGGCAGGGAGCTCTTCTGCCGGTCCAGGTGATTTTGGGGGTTTGGGGACCTCCCAGTGCTGAGTCTGAGGTGCCAGCCTGAATTTCTTGTGGTGTTCACCTGAATTTCCTGGGATTTTCATCTGAATTTCCTGGGGTGTTCATCTGCCCTATCTGGGGTGCCCATCTGAATTTCCTGGCGTTTTCATCTGAGTTTTGTGGGGTTTTCATCTGAATTTCCTTGGATTTTCATTGGAATTCCCCCTCAAACCTCCCCAACCTCCAGCAGCGCCAGCACTCCCCCCCCCATCCCCACCTCAGGGCGCTCTTTTGGGGACCCCTCTCCCCATCCTCAGGGTGATTTTTTCGGCTGTCCCCATCCCCACCACTCCAGGCGATTTTTTAGGCTCTCCCCATCCCCATCTCCATCACTTCCAGGTGAAATTTTTGGGCTCTCCCCACCTCCACCACTCCAGGCGGATTTTTTGGGGGTTATCCCCATCCCCACCACCCCCAAGTGATTTTTTTAGGCTCTCCTCCCACCCCAAGTGGATTTTTTGGGCTCTCCCCATCCCCACCAAACCAGAGCTCTCTCCATCCCCATCCCCAGCACCTCAGGTGGATTTTTTGGGATCTCCCCACCCCACCACTCCCTTTGTACCCCTCCCAATACCTTCGGTCAGCCCCAGGTGGATGCTCCAGTAGATCTGAAGGCACTGCAGCTCCTTTTTCATGCCCCTCTTGCAGCGGCAGTCGTACAGGGGGCTCTCCTGCAGCACCTCCAGGGCCACCTGGCACTCCTTGTTGGCGAGCATGGTGTTCCTGTCGCGCCCGGCCAGGCACTGTCGCAGGGTGCGGTAGCGGGAGCTGCAGCTCGGCTCGCCCGCGCACAGCTCGTTGGCTCGCACGCAGTCCACGGGAACTCGCCAGCCCGGAGGGGCCAGCCCCGGGGGCGAGGGGGGCCCGGCCAGCGAGCGCAGGATCTCATCTGGGCCGGGGGAGGGAGAGAGGAGGGCACAGGTGAGGAGGGCACAGGTGAGCACCCCCCTCATCTCCCGGAACTCCCTCATCCCTCTGAGGCCACTGAGGTGAGGAGGGCACAGGTGAGGAGGGCACCCTCCCTCACCTCCCGGGGCACAGATGAGGGCACAGGTGAAGAGGGCACAGGTGAGGACCCCCCTCGCCTCTTGGAGCTCCCTCACCCTCTGAGGGCACAGGTGAGGAGGGCACAGGTGAAGGGGGCACAGGTCAGCACCCCCCTCACCTCCCGGAACTCCCTCACCCCTCTGAGGGCACAGGTGAGGGCACAGGTGAGGAGGTCACAGGTGAGGGCACAGGTGAGGAGGTCACAGGTGAGCTCCCTCCCTCACCCCTCCCCACCCGCGCGAGGGGAGTTATGATGAGATTTTTTTAAAATTCCCTTTCCAGCCCAAACCAGGCTGGGAATTCCCATCCCGATGCATCCAGAGGGGAAATCCCGATCCTGCTGCAGCCGTGGCCACAGGGACGCTGCTCCAGGAGCCATTCCAGAGTGGAAGGTCCCTGACCATGGCGGGAACGAGATCCCATAACCATGGAATTTGGGTTTGGGTGGGAAGAGACCCTAAAATCCCCCCTGCCATGGGCAGGGACACCTTTTCTATCCCAGGCTGCTCCAAACCTTGTCCAGCCCAGCCGGGAACATTCCCGGGGATGGCCCTGATGTCACCGGAGCAGCCCAGCAGTGGGGTGGGAATGTGCAGGGTTAACCCCACACCTCAAATCTGGGACCTTGTGTCCCTTATCCCACCCACTCCGATGAATCCCCGGTGTGATCCCGACCTTCCCGGAGCTCTCGGGAATCCCGGGAAGCAGCGAGTCCATCCCGATTCCCCGCACCCGCCGCTCCTTGGGCTGAATTTGGGTTTTTTTGTTTTTTTTTCCAGGGTTTTTTAGGGCGTCTGACTCATGGCTTTTTTGGAGCGCTCGGCCTTGGCAGGGCCTCGGGGCAGCTGCAGCTCCCAACAGGCTCTTCCCTCCGGGATGGCACCGGGCCAGCCCTGCCGGCTCCTGTCCCTGTCCCCTCCTGTCCCTGTCCCCTCCCGCCCCCGCATTCCCACAGCTCTCCCACCGTTCCCATCATTTCCGCATCTGCTTTTCCCCCTGGAAATAAATTCCTGCTAAATCCAGCCCAAGCCTGGCTTGTCCCCTCTCAGGGGAGTTGGGGACAGGCAGCGCTGGTGTCCTGTCCCCTCCCCGCCGTGATGGGGACAGGGTGAGCAGGACCCGCTGTGTCACCCTTTGCCCCCCTGCTCCACCCTCCGCCTTCCAGGGAAAGCCCCAAAAATGGGAATGCCAGGACCTGGAGGGGACCCTGGGCTGCTCTGGGGGGTGATGGGGAGGGGACCCCGCTCTGTGCCCGCCCTGGTGCCCCCCGAGGGTGGAGGAGGACAGAGGTGACCCCTCGGTGAGTCCCCGGCAGCCGCATTCCCGTCCCCTCCCGCCTGGCACCGCCGCTGGCAGCCCCTTCCCAGCCCGGGTCTGGCAGGGGGACAGTGACACCTACAGGAACGCGACACGGGCCACCCGCGTGTCCCCCCCCAACGGGCGGGGCCGGTCCCTGCCACCCCCGGGGCCGGGCACGCGTCCCTTCCCCCTCGGGAGCGGGGACCACTGGCTGGGTGCCACTGGGGTGGCTCCCTGGCACTGGAGTGGGTGGCCCTGGTTGGGTGGCCCTGGAGTTGGTCCCTTCCCCCTGTGTCCCTCGGGAGCGGGTGGCGCTGGTGGCACTGGTTGGGTGACACTGGAGCAGCTCCCTGGCACTGCTTGGGTGGCCCTGGAGTTGGTCCCTTCCCATTCCCTCTGGAGCGGGTGGCACTGGTGGCACTGGTTGGGTGACACTGGGGTGGCTCCCTGGCTCTGGAGCCGGTGGCCACGGACAGCTCTGCCCCCCTCGGGTGATGCCAGGGGGGCTCTGAGGAGGGACAGGGGCCAGGGCTGGCAGTGCCCGGGTGGGGACAGCTCTGCTGGCTCCGGTCACTCCGAGGAACAGATCCCACGATCCCACGGATCCCACGGGTCCCGGTGTTCAGCCCCACTGGGTTCCAAAAGGTCCGAGGGTGTCCAGGAGCCCCCACATCCACGTTAGATCCAGTCTGGAGCAGCAGATTCCCCTCGGGAAGGCCACGCCTGGCCTGGCACGATTATAATTCCACACGGGAGGCAGGCGGGATCCGTGGAGGAGAAACAGGAATCCCCAAACGCTGATCCCGGGGCTGGGAATGCCAGAGCCTCCCCAGGCCATGGATGGTGCTTTGGGATGAACTCTGGGTCTTCACGTGCCAGGAATTCCCATCCTGAGGCATCCAGCTGGAAAATCCTGACCCTGCTGCAGCTGTCGCTGCAGGGAAACTGCTCCAGGGTGCTGGAAACATTCCAGAGATCCAGTGGGCATGGAGAGCGATTCCAGAATTCCATGGGCATGGGGAGCCATTCCAGAGATCCACTGGGTGTAGAGAGCCATTCCAGAATTCCATGACCATGGACAACCATTCCACAGATCCACTGGGCATGGAAAGCCATTCCAGAGCTCCACTGGGCTTGGAGAACCATTCCAGAGCTCCATCGGACCTGGAGAACCATTCCAGGCTCCACCACATTCCATCCTCTCCCAGCTCAGCTCCAGCTCCAGCCGTGCTTGCCCCGAGCCAGCTCCCAGCTCCAGCTCCCGCTTCTCCAGAAGCCTCTTCCCAAAAATCCCCTCCTCTGGCCGCATTCCTGTCCCCATGGGCAGGGACACATCCAAGGGACCACCGGGAATATCCGCGTGTGCCCTCAGCTGCACATCCCGGTGCTGGATTGGGAATTCCACGATAAATCCACCCTCTGGAAGCCGCGGGGATGAGCTGTAGGGGTGAGCTGGCCCCAATCCTCCTGGATTTTGCCATTTTTTTCCACCTTTCTCCCACGGTTTTGCAGGGAACGGGGTCCTGCGAGCCCCGGGAGCATCCGGCACGATGGGAGCCGGGAATGCCGGCAGATCCTGGATCCCGCTGGAGCAGGGAGGGCAGGCACAGCCCTTTGTCGTGATGTCCCCAAATCCCGCAGGGATCAGCCCGGCCTGGGCGCTTTTCCTGGAGCCCCCCGCTCCTCCCAGCTCCTCATTCCCACCCAGACTCCAGCGGGGAGTTAGGCTGGAGAGGGAGACTGAGGAGGGAGGGGATTTTCAACCCCCCCAAAAAATAAAAAACCCTCCAGGCAGAGCCGCCCTTCCCGAATTCCCATCGCTGAAACATCTGCAGAGAATTCCCGGCTAATCCTGGCCAGGCTCGGGGGTGCCGGAGCACAGCGAGGATTTGCTGCACAAGGCGATGGCCCCTTTCTTTTCCTGCCGCTCCCACGGCTTCTCCCGGCTCCAGCAGCCTCTTCCCGAGCTCTAATCCGTGTTCTCCTGCTCTGCTGCTGCCGGAGACCTTTGGACACCCGGCAGCTTTAGAGGGAAATATTTCTCCTCGCCAGGATCACTCCGGAACACGCAGCTCCTCAGCCAGGACCAGAGGGATTTTCTGAATTCCCGGGAATGGGAAGAGCTGGATGTTCCCTGCTCCAGGTTCCTCGCAGCGAGGCCACGCCGTGGAAAGAGCCGTGGTCACCCCATCCCTAAATCTGGGGGTGCAGGGTCCCTGCTCGGGGTCCTCAGCCTCGCCCTGCACCCACAGGACCTTGGGGACACCCGGGAATGGGGAGGGGGCGACACCGGGTCCTGCTTCGATGCCAACCCCGCCGTGAGGGTGGGCGGGCCCTGCTTTGGATGCCTGAGGTTGGGGCACCCCTGCCCCCCTGGAGGTCCCTGCGCCCCAAATCTCTCCACGAGCCATCCAGCTGTTCCTGGACACGCGTCCAGATGTCCAGCTGTCCCTCCAGCCAGGCTGGATCACCCTTCCCCCCGCCCCGTGTCCCCACTCGTGTCGCCACCCCGCCCCCCCAGCGCCCCTTTCTCTCGGTCTGAGGGCACCGCCCGAGCCCCCCCGACCCCTCCGGCCAGGGGCTCCCCCAACCCGGGGCTCAGCTCAGGCCTCTGTGCCCCCCTCCCCAAAGCCTTGGGGGGCACCCACCCCCCTGGGCACCCTCGTCCCTCGCTCGGGTGGCGCTGGGAGGGGGCAGAGCCCGTGCCCCCCATTCCAGCCGGGAGCAGAGCGCAGCCCGGGGACCCCGAGCACCCCCAGCCTCCGGAACGCGGCCGTGCCAACCTTCAAGTCTCCCTCAGCGGCCTCCTGTCCCTTGTCCCTGTCCCCTGTGCCTGTCCCCGGTCCCCTGTCCCCATGCCGGCTCCGCAAAGTTCTCCGGGCGCTGCAGCGAGCTGGGATCACATCCCAGGCACCCGCGGGATGCGGGAGCCGCGAATGGCACCGGGAGCGCGACACGCCCGAGCCGCGGAGGGCAAAAAAAAAATAAAAATAACCCCCAACATTTCCCATCTCCTTTCCTTTTCAGCCCAAACCCAGCGCGGGCTGGGCGTGCTCCCTTTTCCAGCGGCTCCTTCCCGGGGAGGCTGCCCGGGGAACCGGAGCGATCTCCCGGCACGGAGCTCCGAGCCCAGCCCGCGGCTCCAGCGCGATCCGGGGACGGCGATTCCCGAGCCGCGAGCTCAACTTTCCCAGCCCAGTCTCCAGCCGCGTTCCCAACCTCTGGAATGGCGGGGGAGCAGCCAGGATGGAGAGAGCAGCGAGAGACACGGGTGGGAGGGGGGGGGAAAAGGGGGAGATCTCCCCCAAAACGCGAATCCGAGCTGGTTTGACAAGGGGAGAAGCGATGGGAGACGGGCAGGGCTCGGCTGCGGGGTGATGCTGCCCGCTCCAGCCCCGAGGGGGCGGCTGGGCTGGTGTCCCCCGTGTCCCCCGTGCGTGTCCCCCGTGTCCCCCCATCCCCGTTTCAAGTTGACAGGGAATAGGAAATGAAGTTGAGCCCCTCGCCGTGCCCCTCTCCTGCCGCAGCGCCGCTGCCAGCTCGGAGGGGCTCGCTCGCTGTCTCAGCTCCTCGCCCCCGGTGGCGTGGGGGGGGCGGGGGGTTGGGGACGCGCCACCTCGGCCAGGCGACAGCCACCACCCCCCTCCTCGGGCACCCCCGCTGAGGCCACTCACCTACGAAGAGGACGATGCAGAAGGCGTTTGCCAAGATCATGGTAGGAAATCCACGCGCTCCTCCACGTGTGCAAAAAAAAAATAATTGTGTTAAAAAATCAGGCGGAGGAGAAAAAAAAAAGAAAAAAAGAAAAATAATAATAAAAAAAAAAAATCAGTAATTCCCAAGGCGCTCAGGTAGATCCTAAATTCCCAAATCCAGTGGGGCTGGAAGCGAAGGGGAAGGGGGGGGATGTGTGCTCCGCCCGGCGCGGAGCCGGGTCCTCCTCAGCCGCTCGCCGCCTCCCGCATCCCCGCCGGGCTCCGCTGCGCGCTCCGGGCTCGGCGGCTCCGCCGGGCTCCCGCCGGCTTCTGCCGAGCTCCGGCTGCCGGGGAGGGGGCGCGGCGAGGGGCGGCTGCGCTCCGCCGAGCCCCGGCGAAGGGGCAGAGCCGGCGGGGCCGCCGCCGTCCCCTCCCCTCCCCGCCCCTGCCCCCGCCCGCCGCTCCACCGGGGCCGCCCTTCCGCCGCCCTTCCGCCCCGGGAGGGGGTCGGGGGGGGTTCTGTGGGGACCCCCCGGAGCTCTGTCCTGGTTATTGTGCATGCCCGTGTTCCCCATCCATCCCTCCTGGCTGGGATGCACCTGCCGGGGCTCCCACGCTGCTGCAGAGACGAAGGCGAGACCCCCGCCCTCCCCAAATCCCCAAATCGCAGCCCCGCGCTGCTCCGGCCGAGGGGGTGGCAGGGGAGGGTGCAGGGGTGGCAGAGGGGAACCCGGGGGGCTTCGGGGACGAGGGGTCACATCCCTGGGTGGGTGACAGGTGTGGGAAGGGGAAAACGGGGACGCTGTGGGGCGGGAAAGGGTCCCTGGATGGGGGAATGGGAAATGGGGATCCCAGATGGGACCAGAAGGCTGCAGGGACACGGTGCCACATCCCTGGGTGGGTGACAGCCGTGGGAATGGGAGGGGGGCCCGTGGGGACACAGGGACACGGTGCCACCCGCTTCCGGGGGACTCCACCCCAGCGGGGGCACCCAGCAGCTGCTGTGCCCTCCCCACTGCGGGGTTTTTTTGGGGAGGTCACACCCAAACACCCCCAGCCCACGGGACCCAAAATTCCAGTCCAGAACACTCCCTGTTCATCCTGGCCAGAATCCAGCCCCACTGCCCCAGACTGGGAATACTGGGAATGGGATCACCACCCCACTGCAGCGGCACGGTGCAGCCTTCCCGGCGTCCTCATCCTCATCATCCTCCTCATCCTCACTCCCCCAGCCCCAGCGAGGTGCTGGAACCTCCAGGATGAGGAGGAGGAGGATGAGGAGGATGAGGATGCTCCACCTGGATCGTCCCAGTGAAGGGCCTGGGCAGCAGGGGGGGAGTTGGAGGCCCTGGGGCTCCCCCCATTCCCGAGCTGGAGCTGGCAGTGACCAGCGCACCTTTCACTGGGCCAGGTCCCAGCTGGTTCGTGGTTCTGGTGTCAGTCCTGCCCCCCTGCAGCCACATTTCCCAAAAGTGCCGTTCCCGGCACGCAGATCCCGCTGTGCTCCCTCCCCTTCGTGCCCTGGGGGGATCCCAGAACAGGAACAGCGGGAGCTGCTCCAGGCCACGGCCGGGTCCCTCCAACTCTTCCTCGGGAGGGAAAATTCCAGCTCGTTCCCTGCCTGGATCCACGGATAAATCCCGCCCGGATCCACTCATAAATCCCTCCTGGATCCACTCATAAATCCCGCCTGGATCCACGGATAAATCCCGCCTGGATCCACGGACAAATCCCGCCTGGATCCACGGATAAATCCCGCCCGGATCCTCGGACAAATCCCGCCCGGATCCACTCATAAATCCCTCCTGGATCCACCGATAAATCCCTCCTGGATCCCTGATTAAACTCCGCCTGAATCCCTGTTTAATTCGTGTCTTGGTGGCCCCTCGGAGCCAGGGAAAGGATTCCCGGATCAGGGATCCGCTCTCCTCTCCTTTCCCTCCCGGTCCTTCCCAGGCCCGAGGCTGTGCCAGAGGGAATCTTGGCCACCCCAAGGTGACACCTGAAGGGTTTTATCCCCACAGCCCCACCTGCGCTTTCCCGGATTTTATTCCCTCACTCCCAGACCCTGCTGGGGGTGGGAACCAGGGGATCCAGCGGGAAACGCCCCCCTCTAATTACCTGCTCTCATTAATTAATGAAGGAGGGGTGGGATGGGGCTCACGGGCGGCGCATCCCGCGGGGTTAATCCCGGAGCATTCCCACGGCAGAGCCTTATCAGGAGCAGGCAGAGCTCCCTGGCCTCTCATTTGGGATTTATTCCAGCTCAATTTACAGCCTGGGAGCTCTTCCATCAGGGGCAGCACCCCGCTGTTCATCCTCCCGCCTCATCCCGGTTTTTTTTTGGGGGGGGAAGAGGAGGTTGGATTCTCCCGGGGGAGAAGCGGGGATGGCGCTTTGGGAGGGGACACGCAGGGGACAGAACCTTCCCGGCCATCCCAGCACAGAGAGGGCTCTGTCCCGAGCTGCTGGTCCTGGTCAGAAGGAAAAGGGAGGCTCGGAGGGGTTGGGGTGGGATGGAGAAGGTTTTGGGATCAGAGGAGACCGGCAAGGCCTCGTCGTGCAGGAATATTCAGAAATATTCAGAAATATAGAAATATTCAGGCTTGGGGAATAGGAAAGAGAGGGGAAAAAAATAAAACAACAAAAACACAAGAAACTGCACAACTTTATTCGCAGCCTTTGTGGCATGACAAGGTTAATCAGCAAAGCCGATTACAGAGACGCAGTTCCCAGTGCTCCCAGTGCTCCCAGTGCCTCCCCACAGCGCTGCTCTCTTCCAAATCATCCCTCAGCCGGGATCCAGCATTCCCGGCGGGATCCGGACCCTCCCTGGCGCGGCTTTGTTCCCGCACAGGAGTTGATGGATGGGACCGGCGGATTCCTCCCCTCCTTCCCTTTAAGTCCCATTAATATGGGTTGGATTTGCTCACCCTCCCGACTCCGGGCTTTAATTCCGCCGAGCGTTATCACATTAATGGGAGTCAAGGTTGTTACGGTGATGGATTAGGCATTAACGGTGTAATCCATGGGGACACAGCCGAGCTCCGAGCTCTCCCCGCCTGCTCTTCGTCCTAAAAACACCGGGAACAGCCTCGGCTGCGGGCTGGGTTTGTACCCCTTTAGGGACACCTGGATGAGGAGAGGGGACATCCCCGCCTGGGCAGGCTCTGCTCTGCAGGAAATGCCCCATTTCAGGCACCTGCAACGGAAAAAAAAAAGTAAAAAGAGGGTTTTTTAACCCCTGAGAGTTTTTAGGGTCTCGGGAGTGGCTGGAAGGTGGCACCTCACCTCTGCTCGCAGTTCTGGGGGATTCCTGAATGCCAGGGATGGAGCTCAGGCATCGCCTCCCTGAGCTGCTGCTCCGTTTGCAGAGCCCAGTTTGGGGCTGGGAATTCCCAGATCAGGGCTTTGCCCTCCTGGGATGTGCAACAAAGTGAGTCCCTTCTGATTAATCCCTTTTTAGCTCCAAAACCCTGGAATTCTGACCATTACAGACCCACCGCTCGCTTTGCTCGGAAAGGACCTTAAAGCCACCAAGTGCCATCCCTGCCATGGGCAGCGACACCTCCCGCCATCCCAGGCTGCTCCGAGCCCGGCCTGGAATTCATTTCCTGCCCTTGTAGATGTGACTCCGATCTTTTCTATTTATTTTATATTATTTTTTCACTTGGGGCAAGGTTTACCCCAGCCCTGGCAGCGCGGAGGGCACGGCGGGTTCACTGCGGGCACAAGGACACCCTTGGGGACAATTCCGAGTCCCTCCCCCTTCCCAGAGCTCCTCCGCACTTGGCGCTGCCGGAGAAGCCTCGCATCCTCATCCTCATCTTCATCCTCATCCTCCCCCTCCGGGTTTCTCACTGCCCCGGGGCCGATCCCGCGGTGCTGTCGGGGCCCGGCCCGGCCGCTCGCTCTTCCCGCGGGTCATTCCTTGGGGATGGCGTTCCCAGGGCTGCTGACAGCGGGCGGCTCGTGGCCACGGGCGATGGGAGTCCTTGGAACACCCCGACACTGATGGACCCCGACAGCTCCACGCGAAGCTCAGGCTATTTTTGCCCTCGCTGCTGTTTTTCCGAGCTGATTTTGCCTCTTTAACCTCTGCCGGGGAACCCAAGCCCTTCCCTGCTGCTTCCTGACAGCTCGGGGACCACGGGGGAAGAAAGAGCAGGGATGGGAAGGAGCTCGGCTGGTTCTAAACCCGCTCTGGATAAACCCCGGGGCGGCACTGGAGCATCCCGGCCGCTCCTCCGCCTCCTTCGGTGGCTGTCGCCGACGGGAGCGCCTCGGGGACAGCTCCAGCCCCACCGGTGACAGTGCCAGCCCCACCGGTGACAACTACAGCCCCATGAGTGCCACACCAGCCCCGTCCTGCCCGGCATGTTCGGGATCCTCCCTGCCCATGGAACACAAGGGGCCCATCCGGCTCTCGATGCCAGCAGAGTGCCAGACCCTGCCCTGCCCTGCCCTGCCAGGGGTTCCCAAACCTTCCCTAAAATTCCACCTCTCTGCTCCCCAGAGGACGGGGACAAAGGGACACCCTGCAGATCCCGGAGTGTCCCGAAATTCTGGCACCAAACTGGGATGATGCCACCAGCGAGGCTGCCCAGGGATGCTGCAGCCACCTCGCTCCTGTCACCGAATTTTTGGGAGTTTGTGATGACCTGGACACGGCAGGGACACAGCCACCATTGACAGTGAATTTTTGGGAGTTTGAGGTGACCTGGACATGGCAGAGCCACTCTGCTGGTGGCCCTGGGAGGGGACAGAAGAGGGGACAGACCCAGGGGTGCATCCACCCTCTCCTGACAGTGAATTTTTGGGAATTTGAGGTGACCTGCACAGGCAGTCACCGCGCTGGTGGCCCGGGGGCGGAGGGACAGGCGCGGCCCCTCCCGCGGGGAGCGGAGCTGTCACCTCTGCTGCTGTCGCTGCCATCAGCCCCAAATCGCAGCTGACATTTCCATCCCAGCCCTCGGCACCTGCGCCAGACGCCGCCGCTGCAAGGGAAGCGCTCGGGAATTTTTTTGTGCCAAGGAACAAATTCCTGCTCGCTCCTCGTTGTCCCAACGTGGCTCCAGCCCCAGCGGGA